TGACAGAAACCAACACTATGGAGCATCTAGAAAAGGGGGACATTAGAACAGTAAAAAGGGACAGAGGTAATTACTGTCCTAAATAGGGACTGTGTCTTTAAAATAGGGACACTCGGGAGCTATGTATGCTAATGATTATGCTCCTCTGTCCATGATACCTACAGTTTGCCCTTCTGTAGGATTCTTTAGACTTATAGATTGTGCGTAAATCATCTTAGCAACTGAAATTTAATTTTGCTCAAACCCAGCCAAATTCTAAAGGCTGCCAATAATTAAACTCCCTATATAGTAAGTAGTCCCTATTTATTCTTATGTACAGGGCCGGATTAACATAGGGGTTGATGGAGCTGAAGCTCCAGGGCCAAGCCCATGAAATAGGTCCATTGATTTAAAAAAAAATAATAATAATTGGTTGCCAGGTATTTCTCAGAAGTATTTTTCAGGCTGCACATACATGGAAACACATACACTAGGGGACACTGGGAGACATAGGGACACTTGGGAACACTGAGACACTAGGGGGCACTGGGTGACCTGGGAACACAGACACTAGGGGAAATTGTGAGAGATGGGGACGGTGAGAGACTTGGGGACACTGGTAGACATAGGGACACTTGGTGATATTGAGACAGTAGGGGGCACTTAGAGACCTGGGGGCACTGACACACTAGAGGAAACTGTAAGACATGGGGACGGTAAGAGACTTGGGGACACTGAGAGACATGGGGACACAGTGCCCTCATGTCTCCTAGTGGCCCATAGTCTTTCATTTTCCCCATGTCTCCCAGCCAGTGTCCCTGGATTCTCTCAGTGTTCCCATATCTCCCAGTGTCCCTGGTGTCTCTCAGTGTCCCCATGTCTCCCAGTGTCCCTGGTGTCTCTGAGTGTCCCTAGTGTCTGTGTCCCTAGTCTCCCAGAGTCCCCTAGTCTCTCAGTGTCCTCATGTCTCACAGTGTCCCAATGTCTCTAAGTGTCCCCTAGTGACATGGGCAACATGGGGACACTGATACACTAGGTGACACTGAGAGACATGGGGAGACTGGGGGACACAGGGAGACATGGGGACACTGGGCGACCTTGTGTCCCTAGTGTCTCAGTGTTTCGTAGTCTCCCAAAGTCCCCTAGTCTCCCAGTGTCCCAATGTCTCCCAGTGTCCCCATGTCTCCCAGTATAAAATAAAAAATCTCAGACACTCACTGTGATAGATTTAAGCAGGTTTATTAGACACCGCAACATTTTGACCTGTACCCAGGTCGTTATCAAGTCTCCAGTGTCCCCTATGTATCACAGTGTCCCCTATGTATCACAGTTTCTCAGTGCCCCATGTCTCCCAGTGTCCCTGGTGTCTCTCAGTGTCCGTAGTATCTCAGTGTACCCTAGTCTCCCAGAGTCCCCTAGTGTCCGCATGTCTCACAGTGCCCCCAAGTGTCTCAGTGTTCCCTAGTATAAAATAAAAAAATCTCAGACACTCACCGTGATAGATTTAAGCAGGTTTATTGGACACCGCAATGTTTTGACCTGTACCCAGGTCTTTATCAAGTCTTCAGTGTCCCTTATATATCAGTGTCCCCTATGTATCACAGTGTCTCAGTGCCCCATGTCTCCCAGCGTTCCCTAGTATCTCAGTGTCCCCATGTGTCCCAATGTCTCTCAATGTCCCTTAGTGTCCTAGTGACATGGGGACACTGGGAGACATGGGGACACAGATACTAAGGGGCTTGGAGACATGGGCACACAGACATGCCCCCTTTTTGGGTATGTTTGCCCCTTTCGGCAGTTCTAGTTATGTGATTTGTGTCAGTGGCCCACCCTTTTTCCTCATCCATAAACTTCCTGCTTTACTGGACACTGCTGTTAGGAGGTATGGATTTACTTGAAAGATAAAAGCGTGAGATTAGCATAGGGTATGTGTTTTCTCATAGCTGCATCCTAAGAGTTTCCCTTCAGCACCATCTCCATCAGATACATGATGCTTGGGAGGTAGGACTGTTTTAGTGTTTTTGGTCGATAAGATTTTGTAATTAGGCCCATCATAATTGTCAGCACCAGGCCACTGGGCTCTTAATCTGGCCCTGCTTATGTATAACTAAGAAACTATGATGATTGTAAATAAGTGGCAATAAAGGGGCACAAATATTAATTTCACAATACCTGCAAAATGTCAGTGCTGCTTTAACCCATCGTGACCTAGGACGTATCAGGTACATCCGACAAAGAACGGTCCTTAAGGTATCAGGTACGTCCGCGGGGAATTAGAGCGCTGGAAGTGATCTCTAACGGTATTGCAGCAATGCCTCAATGTCGAGGCGTCGTGCAATACCCCCTCTCACAGCCGGGCTGCCGGAGAACACCGGGTGATCGCTCCCCTGCAATTAGTATTTAGGGCCCCCACCCACCGCTCAGGGGTGGGGGCCAGGGGGGAGGACATTAGGTCCTCCCCCTCATTCCAATTTAGGGCCCCCACCCACCGCTTAGGGGTGGGGGCCAGGGGGGAGGACATTAGGTCCCCCCCTAATTAGTATTTAGGGCCCCCACCCACCGCTCAGGGGTGGGGGCCAGGAGGGAGGACATTAGGTCCCCCCCTCAATTAGTATTTAGGGCCCCCACCCCATTAGGTCCCCCCCAATTAGTATTTAGGGCCCCCACCCACCGCTCAGGGGTGGGGGCCGGGGGGAGGACATTAGTTCCCCCCCAATTAGTATTTAGGGCCCCCACCCACCATTCAGGGGTGGGGGCCAGGGGGGGGCATTAGGTCCTCCCCCCTCATTCTAATTTAGGGCCCCCACCCACCACTCAGGGGTGGGGGCCAGGGGGGAGGACAATAGGTCCCCACCAATTAGTATTTAGGGCCCCCACCCACCGCTCAGGGGTGGGGGCCGGGGGGAGGACATTAGTTCCCCCCCAATTAGTATTTAGGGCCCCCACCCATCGCTCAGGGGTGTGGGCCAGGGGGGAGGACATTAGGTCCCCCCCCCCTAATTAGTATTTAGGGCCCCCACCGCTCAGGGAATTAATACCGTGGGAATTAGGGAGTTATGTACCAAGCAGCTGCAAGAGAAGTTCCGAAATTCCAATGTTCCGAAGTGTCGAGGTTGCTGAAGTTCCGAAGTGTCAAAGTGCCGAAGTGTCAAAGTGCCTAAGTTCCGAAGTGCCGAATTTACCGAAATTCTGAAGTGGCGAAGTTCCGAAGTGTCGAATTGCCAAAGTCACGAATTTCGGACTGCCGAACCGAAACATTTTCCCATGCACATGCCTAGTTAAAGTTAGAAAAAGTGTGTTTTTTAAATTTTTTCATCATATTTTATATTTTTTTTTATAGTAAATTATAGGATATGATGAAAATAATGGTAGAAAGACCATTTAATGCTTAGAAATATGGTATCTAATATGAGAGGGTACAGTAAATAAGTAAGAGGAAAATTACAGCTAAACACAAACACAGCAGAAATGTAAAAACAGCCCTGGTCTCAAACGGTAAGAAAATTGAAAAGCTGTCTGGTCACTAAGGGGCTAAATCAGCAGAAAATGGTGTTGAGATTCTGCAGCCCACAGACCCGTTTACCTCCTTGCTAGCTTTCCCCTGGATTTAACATGAAATACTGTGGCTCATGGTTTCAACTCGAGTATAATAAACAAGACATGCTCTTTCACCTTGCATTAGAGAGGGTTTATCACTTCCCTGGAAATTACAGCACTTTATCAGTAAACTGCATGCATATCATAAATTAACTCATATTACAACTGTATTTTTTACTTCTATTAATCTTACACTTTGAGCTGTGTAGGGCTGACTGGCATAGCCTTGCTAACAAGTTCACTACTGAAACTGACAGAAATAAACTAACAATCTTCAGCTACTTCCTGCATCGAATGCTGCTGGATGCTAGTTACACTTGTTCTAATAAGCAGAGCCCCTGGTTACCATGGCACATGTATATAACGGCTGGCTTCCAGTTCCCCGTTGCTATGGAAATGCAATGTAACTTCCTGTTGTGATTTCTTTTCAGACAGTTAGTATTCGGTGAGTATATGTTTACTTCTCACAGTAAATCGTTTTCACTTTTCTTCACCTGATTATGTTTGTAAAAGTCTAGTTAGTGCATGCAAACCCTCATTTAGTAACCATTTATTGTTATGTTTATGTGCCAGAGGTCAGATACTCGGTGAGTACAAGGACTCTGCATGGTTTCCATGTCTAGTTTCATGGCTGAGTAGAGCAATTACATTGTTACTCCAGTATTATTAACCCTTGGTGAAATTCCTACTCTTCATTGTATCTCTATGAAAGCTGTTGTTAGAATGTGGATATATGTTCTTGTAGTAACTTTGTGTTTGCATCTGCATAATTGTGTCTTTTACTTACAGAGCAAGCTATATTTGTTTTTGCAGACTGAGCAAACAAATATATTAATTAAAACATTCAAGACATATTTATCCCCATGCAAGTACAGCAGCTTTGGAATTTAAAAGTCATGGGATTGCATTTGTTGATGTTGCATAGAAATGCACGTTTTTGGAGTCTTTTGCGCATGTAATGCAAATAAATCTGGTGGGTCAATTTCTTCATACTGTGTCTTTACTTAGTTATACATACCTCTAACGAATGTGACTAATTAGTTTTAGTTGTTTCCCAGATATGAATCCCATTTTTTTTGTTCACACATTTTAAGGAATGTACTAAGCTCTGAAGTCAGTATGTTCTTGGTACATGTTCATTGTTGTTAAATGTTTTTTTCTGCATTTTCACTAAATACCTGAAATGTACAGCAACTAATTATAATATGGCTGGATGAAATAACTTAAATTATTCAAATTAAAACATATTCCATTTGGTGCTTTTCAAAAAATACAGTTTTGTGGAATGGACGAGTACATTTGAAATATGGGTACCTTTTCAATTTTTTTTTAAATTCTGCCCTAAATACTGGGTTATATACAAGAATCCCTACTTGTTCTATAAACTAAGATGCAAATTATTTTTTTCTACATTTTTATTTTAGGTTGAAACTAAACAAACAATGTATTTCTGAGGTTTTGCTTTTTCCAGTATATGAATGTCAAGCGTCCAGTTAAGTCAAGCCTCTTCCTAATGATAGAGACTCCCTTGCTGGTTGGCCAATAGAGATACCGAAAGTCTTATGCGATTTTGAAGTAAACAATCACTAAAAGAAAAAATAACTGTATCAAAACTAAGCATTTCTTTGATATGCCAGGAGACACAAGGCATGGTCATGGTGATGACCCAAATGAAAGCATTTCTTCTCTGCCAAAGGTAGCCTCACTTCCATGGGACATGAAGACCGAGAATTCAATGCTGAGATCTCGTCTGGAAGAGCAATCTCAGCTAATATGCTTACTGAAACAGCGTGCTGATGGCACAATCCATCGGTGCCAAGGCCTAGAAAGGATAAATGAAGAGCTAGAGAGAAGAAGTAAAGAGCTTGCTGAAAAGTTTGAAGCAGAGCAGAAGAGGGCTGATAAACTGGATGAGAGTTTCAACTTACTGGCTGACAATCACCAACAGATGATTCATTTCAAAGATGAATACAAAAGACAGAATGATGAGTTACGACGTGAGTGTGAGAAGCTTTGTAACAATGCTCAACCTGAGCTGCTGGAGAAGGACCGGAGCATCCACCAACTGAATGACCAGCTACACGCAATGGAAAAGGTGCAGCGGGAGCAGAGCCTGAGGCATGAGAAAGAGTTGGAGTCCATGGAAGAAAGACTGGGACAACTAATGGAGAAAAACCAGGGACAAACTATAGAGCTAGACTCACTGAAACTGAAACTAACGGTAAGATAGTGCTAACCTTTATCCATTATGCCATGCACTTCTTTCTGTCTTGTGTTTTAACTTTCATTTGTGTATGGTGCAGAGAGTAACATGTACTCACTCTTATTTAGAGAGTGACTTATAATTATATATTTTTGAGTAATAAACCTTTTGTACAGAATGACTGCATGGAATAAAATTAGGTTTCATAGACTTAAATAAGTGTCCTTTGATTGGTGGAGCCTCTTTCTGGTCCAGAGATGTCCATCCCCTGACACTTGATGTTTAACTGTAGAAGCTTAAAGGAATATTCAAACAACAAACTAAAATTAAAAATTCCTGTGTATTCTTTTTTAGTAAAACACCTTAAAAATAATTGAAATGATTGAAATTGAAATATTGACTGTACGCTTGTTTTCAGCAGGGTCCTCATTAACCTAGTGTTCCTCTCAAAGCTTGTAATAGTTTGTCTCATGTGTAGTTAAATTCCCACCTTTATAACATTGTAAAGTACTGCAGAATAAATTGGCGCTATATAATTGCCAATAATAATGAAAATGGAAATTCTTTTTGTCTTCTTGTGTCAAGCAGAATTCGCAAGAATTGTGCTGTCAGTCGCAGGAAGAATTACTGCGCATGGTGGAAGCACGCAGAGTTGAACAGAAGGAAGCAGAAAGGCGTATTAGTGAAATGACAAAGGAGAAAGAAGACCTGCTCAAGTTGTGTATGGACAGAGGAAAATCCATACAAGACAAGCAAAAAGAGATTTCTGAGCTTAGTGATAGGTTGCAAGACACTGAAAAGGCACGGCAGAGAGCAGAGGAGAAGTTTCATCAAGACTCTGCTGCAGTGGATACAGATATCAGAGTGTCAGAGCTACACAAAAAGCTGGAGGAAAGTGATAAGGAACTGGGGCAGCTCAGGAGGGAATTTGAAGCCTACAAAATTCACAGCGGGAACTTGTTATCCAAGGAAAGAGAACTGAATGCAAAACTACGGCACTTGATTGGTTGAACACACTCATGATAATATTATGAAATGTCCTATTTTTTAATGAAATTTGACATATTGTTTTAAAAGTCGTTTTAGAATGACATATTCGAATTAAGATTAAACAGAGAAACATAAATACATAGAATGTGACGGCAGATAAGAACCAATCGGCCCATCTGCTCTACCCAATTTTCGAAATACTTAAGTTAGTCCCTGGCTTTATCTTAAGTCTAGGATAGCCTTATGCCTATCCCATGCATGCTCACTGTGTTAACAGCTGGAAGGCTATTTCATGTGTCCACTACCGTCTCTGTAAAGTAATACTTCCTTTTGCCCCTCTAATTTAAGACTATGTCCTCCTATAGTCTCCTCCTTTACTGTGTTGATTCCTTTTAAGTATTTAAATGTTTCTATCATATCCCCCCATCTCGTCTTTCCTCCAAGCTATACATGTTAAGACCCTTTAACCTTTCATGGTAAGTTTTATCCTGCAATCCATGAACCAGTTTAGTAACCCTTCTCCGAACTCTTTCCAAAGTATCAATATCCTTGTGAAGATATGGTCTCCAGTACTGCATAGAATACTCCAAGTGAGGTCTTACCAGTGGCATGAGTACTTCCCTCTTTCTACTGCTAATATCTCTCCCTATACAACCAAGCATTCTGCTAGCATTTCCTGCTGCTCTCTTACATTGTCTGCCTACCTTTAAGTCATCTGAAATAATTACTCCTAAATCCCTCCCCTCACATGTTGAGGTTAGTAGTGTATCAAATATTCTATACTCTGTCCTTGGGTTTTTACCCCCAATATGCATTATCTTGCACTTATCCACATTAAATGTCAGTTTCCACAACTCTGACCATTTTTCTAATTTACCTAAATCATTTGCCATTTGGCTTATCCCTCCTGGAATATCAACCCTGTTGCAAATTTTAGTATCATCGGCAAAAAGACATACGTTATCATCAAAACCTCATGCAATATCACTAATCAAAATATTAAAGAGAATGGGTCCAAGTACAGATCCATAAGGTACCACACTAGTAACTAGACCTTGCTTTCAATATACTCCAAGGTCTAGTTACTAGTGTGGTACCTACAAAGCAGGCCCAAACCATAATGCCCCCACCACCATACTTCACAGTTGGGATGAGATTTTGATGTTGGTGTGCTGTGCCTTTTTTTCGCCACACATAGTGTTGTGTGTTTCTTCCAAACAACTCAACTTTGGTTTCATCTGTCCACAGAATATTTTGCCAGTACTGCTGTGGAACATCCAGGTGCTCTTGTGCAAACTGTAAACGTGCAGCAATGTTTTGTTTGGACAGCAGTGGCTTCCTCTGTGGTATCCTCCCATGAAATCCATTCTTGTTTAGTGTTTTACGTATTGTAGATTCGCTAACAGGGATGTTAGCATTTGCCATTGACTTTTGTAAGTCTTTAGCTGACACTCTAGGATTCTTCACCTCATTGAGCAGTCTGCGCTGTGCTCTTGCAGTCATCTTTACAGGACGGCCACTCCTAGGGAGAGTAGCAGCAATGCTGAACTTTCTCTATTTGTAGACAATTTGTCTTACCGTGGACTGATGAACAGCAAGGCTTTTGGAGATACTTTTATAGCCCTTTCCAGCTTTATGCAAGTCAACAATTCTTAATTGTAGCTCTTCTGAGAGCTCTTTTGTGCAAGGCATCATTCACATCAGGCAATGCTTCTTTTGAAAAGCAAACCCAGAACTGATGTGTGTTTTTTATAGGGCAGGGCAGCTGTAACCAACACCTCCAATCTCATCTCATTGATTGGGCTCCAGTTGGCTGACATCTCACTCCAATTAGCTCTTGGAGATGTCATTAGTCTAGGGGTTCACATACTTTTTCCACCTGCACTGTGAATGTTACATGGTGTGTTCAATAAAAACATGGCAAAATTTCATTCTTTGTGTGTTATTAGTTTAAGCAGACTGTGATTGTCTATTGTTGTGACTTAGATGATGATCAGATCACATTTTATGACCAATTTGTGCAGAAATCCATATCATTCCAAAGGGTGCATATACTTTTTCTTGCAACTGTACATTTTGATACATAGTATGTCTCTGAAGTATTAAAAATGAAGGCACAGTCGCAGTTTAGAAATTGCCCTTCAAATTTTAGCTGGCTAGAGTGGAGTTTAATGAATGTCAATGGACAGCGTGAGTTGCAAACAAATGGTCATATTGTGAAAACGATCAGGACTATGGCTTAGCCATGGACATTTTTAGTGGCAGCAGGGATAGCTGAACGTTTTGATCTAAGATTTGTGTAGGTGGGCTTGAAAATGAGGGAGTGGTGGCAGTTTAGAAATCATGTCCTGATTTTTCAGCTTTTGCCAGCTCCCACTCTAGTTTTGAACATTTTGCCATTCATTCCTATGGGACCAATTTCGCCACAAGAACGACGATATTCCGTGAACCATTCGGCAAAACGTTCCACAAAGTAATAGCACATCAATCGGGAACAATCTGCATTGTATATTACTGTCTATGTAGTGTAAAAACTGTGGGAGGAGTTAGGGTGGTAAATTTGGCTATAATAATAATATATATGTGAGATAACATTAAGTGGTCTTGCTATGCAAGAACACTTAATAACAAAGTATTTAACCAGGAAAGGTACATTCAGATTGCTGTTGTTTTCAAGTACATCCTGGGGATTCTACTTTTGCCCCACATCCAAAATATTTTCTGAGAGTTGTAATTGCAAACTCTCATGTGAATATCAAGGACTTTGAGCGTTTACAAAAAGTATTTTTACATTTCTTGGGTTAATTATGGGTGTAACAAAATGTTCCAATATGCAGGAGTCAACACACATTCTTGGACCATCCCACCATCAGTGCTAAGATTAGTTTTTTGCTTGTGGACTGTAGTTTTTTTTGTGTGTTTATTCAGAATTCCATTGAACAAGATTTTTTATTTTTTTATTTTGGATCTTTTTTTTTCTCCATAGGCAGAACATAGGGACAAGCCTTGAGATTTAGTCCTCAAAATAACACCTTTAAGTAATTCTAGCTTTTATTGTTGAATTCAAGTTTGTATTGCTATATGAAACAGAGAATATGAACTTTTCAGCTGTTAATTTCTCATAAAACGTATTTGTCCTTTCTAGTAAATAAAGCTGCTTGTGCATGTGCACTGCACTGCACTTGCTACCAACATCTTACTCACTAGTGAATGTGTATCAGTCATGTTTTTATGTTTTTTTTTACTGAATGAGATAATGCTGTGTTTAGGATTACATGAATTAGTAATTTGTCTCATTAGCAAACATCCACGTTCTGTTATAGGTGAGATCAGAGATTGACTTAGAATTTTCTGCCAGTTCCTCATTTCAGCAAATGTCACTAGTGCTAAATGCAACTCAGAGGTGCAGGCATTTGTTGAAAAAGAAGGACATTGAAAGGTTAATGTGAATTTTATACATAGGATTTTTGTATTTGATGCATGACGAATTGTAAAGGCACAAAGTTGTGTTCTTTTAAGAATATTAGTAGAAAATAGGATTGGATTGAATTTTGTATGGAGAAATCACAGGACAAAGTTACAATGGCCCCAAACTTTGTGGAGTATTTACAGGGACACTCCGGGCACCACTATAACTCGAAAGCATTTGACCTCATTAATAAAATCCACAAAAAAAATAAATAAATGTAATGCAAAATGCGGCATCGAATCTATAAAAGTTTGAAATGTATGCACACAGCTCAACCATTGACAGTACTAAGTGAACTACAATCAACCTGCATTAGAAGAATAGTATAGTAAGGATATCACTACTTGTTTGTCTGCAGTTTTTCTGACTGTCTGCAGCAAGGTTGTGAAGTAAAAGCAGCTTTCCTACTTTATATTGTTCTACTAAAGTAAGGACTCTTAAATTGGCACAACATTGTGGCTTTACCACAATTCCCCTTTAAGCATCTTGTAAACATTTTTTTACAAATTACTTGCACCGTATTCAATTAATCTAGGGCATTATATGCCGTCCTACATAAAGTAGGCTTTCATGCCTGTAGGGCGGCATAGAACACCAGCACAGCAAATTGCCCTTTAATTAAGCATAGTGCTCACACTACTAACTCCAGGTATCAATGGATACCTTGGGCTCCACTTAATGTGCTGGGGCAATTTAAGTACTGCAATTTAACATATGTTTCAATGACCCAACCCCAGTCCGCCATAGGAAATTTAACTGTTTTAAAATAGCTCAACACAATAAATGCTCAACTGAGTGGTTTCCCTGTTCTGTTAGTGTAACCACTGTTCCTTAACTTTGAACTTGCAACAGGTTCTATTCAGGGGTTGAATAATTTTGAGACTGTAAAAGTCATTATAAGTTGCATTTTCAGTTGAATTTCGGGAAAACACTTGAAGCGTTCATTGTTTCAGCTATTTCAATTGCTCTTGCTTGATCTGTTCATTGCAAACAGCTGAAAGTATGTACATTTTTACTATAAACCTGATTTTCAATGGGGGTTGAAAAATTATGATTACAACTGTATAGTATGTTAAATGAAAGCCTTTTCTGTCCTTTAAAAAATTATATATAATATGCACTTGAAGAGAAACCCTTAAATTACAGTGGAACAAACGTATAGCTCTAATTCAAGGTTTTGTTTTTGGTTCAGAACGTGGACAGTTGCAGGGATCCTAGCATCCGACGCCCAGGACATGCAGTTTCGGGCGCTGGGCAGGTAGTTATTTTTTTTCTATTAGCCCTGCCTCGGGCTAGCAGCAGAGTGACTGGTCGGGTCTTCGGTCTATGACCGAGGACCCGACATTGGGAGGGGGCCCTGCGGTTTGCCCGATGTGCCGCCGGGTGCGAGGCTGCTCCCGTCTGCCCAGGGAGAGAGCCAGGACAGTCTGAAGCTCTGCCAGGTGTCAGCTGCAGATTGTGCTGTATCTCACGATCTCTGGCCAATCAGAGCATTGCCACAGGTTACCATGGAAACGCTATGGCTTCTGGAGCTTGCGAGATACAGCACAGTCTGCAGACTGGAGAGACAGACCACCGGACCAACAGGGAGCCAGGACACTGGAAAAAAAGGTATATCTAGCACCCCTCACTCTGTCACCAGTCACCCCCTCCCTCAGTCACTCTGTCACCCCCTCCCTCAGTCACTGTCACCAATCACCCCATCCCTCAGTCACTGTCACCAATCACCCCCTCCCTCACTCTGTCACAAGTCACCCCCTCCCTCACTGTGTCACCCCCTATCTCCCACACTCTGCCACCAGGCACCCCCTCCCTCACTCTGCCACCCCCTCACTCTGCCACCTTTCATCCCCTCACTCTGCCACCTCCTCACTGCCACCTGTCACTCTCTCCTATGCTCTGTCACCTGTCACCCCATCCCTCCCATGCTCTGTCATCCTCTCACTCTGCTGCCTATCACTCCCTCCTACACTCTGTCACCCCCTCCCACGCTCTGCCACCTGTCACTCCCTCACTCTGCCATCCCTATCCCACCCCACCCCACACTATGTGTCCTACTCATACTACATCCCTATTACCCCACACTATGTGCCATACACCCCTATCCCACCCCACACTATGTGCCCTACACACACTACATCCCTATAACCCCATACTATGTGCCCTACACACACTATATCCCTATCCCACCCCACACTATGTGCCCTACACACACTACATCCCTATCCCACCCCACACTATGTGCCTTACAAACACTACATCCCTATCCCACCCCACACTATGTGCCCTACATACACTACATCCCTATCCCACCCCACACTATGTGCCTTACACACACTACATCCCTATCCCACCCCACACTATGTGCATTACACACTCTACATAACATACAAACTGCATCCCTATCCCGCACTTGAGTATGTTCCGTACATCCATATCCCGCACAACACCATGTTCCATGCACACACTACATAACCTACACACTACTTATCTATACTGCACCCCACCATGTTCCCTACACACTCTACATAACCTACACACATACACACTACATCCCTTTCCCACACCTCACTATATTCCGTACACACACTACATAACCTATACAAATACACACTACATCCTTATCCCACCTCACACTATGTTCCTTAGACACACTGCATAACCTACACACTACATAGCTATTTATTAAAGCTCTTCTTAAAGGGGCGCTCTAGGCACCAGAGCCACTACAGTTTGATGTAGTGGTTCTGGAGTAAAGAGATTTACCCTGTAGGCTCAGCAGTGTAAGCACTGCCTTTTCTGTAACCAAGCATGTGAATGGATATACATGGCCTCATGAGGTTGCCTCAATGAATTAAAGTTCTATTTTTTTGATAAAGTAAGCTACAATTCTCATTTGGAAAAGATTCTGTTTAAGTTCACTACCTGCTTGCATTTGTTAAAGCGGCACTGTCATGCCGAACTTACCTTTCCTCAATCTCTTCCTCTTCTCCCCCTCTCTCAGGATCTGTTCTTCTTTTCTTCCTGTCTTCTTTAGTTTTCTTTAAAATCATAAGACAAAGTAGGGACTCTTTGCCTTATGGAGGTTTCCTCCGCTTGACCAGCTTTGACCAGCAAAGGAGCAAAGTGTGTTTCATTTCCGCTGGTCAGAGCAATTTTCCCATAATTCTTACATTTCCCCCGTGATCTTGCGATGCTTCCTGTTATTTTAGACAAAACTGCCGAATTGCGTTCTAACTGAATGAGAACAGTATGTTCGTTTGTTTTAAAACTCAATTCGGCACTTTGTTTGTATCGGAATTTCATTCGAATGAATGAAACTCCGATTCAATTTGTGCCACGGCTGCATCTTGCAGCCGCTTAGTAGATAACTCCCTAATTCCCACAGTATTAAGGAGCTATCTTCGAAAAGGCTGAAAGACCTAAATTGGTCTTTTAGCCATATTTACTATTACTAAGTAAAGATTACTTAGTATTAGTAAATAATATGCCCCTACTCGCTATACCGCGAGTAGGGGCATGTCTAGTAAGCAGTGAGCAGCCAGTGGCAAAACCCTACTAACCACCCCCCCCCCCCAATTGGGGGGGACCTACTGCAATAATGGGGGCAATAATACAATAAATGACAATTGGAGGGGAGGGGAACTTGGGCACCCCTAGTCACCTTTGATGGGGGGGGATTTGTCTTAGGGCCCCCACCCGCTGCCCAGGGTGGGGGCCGGGGGGAGGACAGTAGGTCCCCCCATTGTAATTTATGACCCCCACCCACCGCGCAGGGGTGGGGGCCAGGGGGGAGGACAATAGGTACCCCCTCTTATTGTTATTTAGGGCCCCTACTGGGCCGGATAGTAGTTGTTTTTTTGTTTTTTTTACAGTGAGCAGCCAGGCTCCTCACTGTTTAGTAAACATGCCCCTACTCGTGGTATAGCGAGTAGGGGCATTCAGGAGATTTTAATCTCCCTTATGCTATTATCATATTGACTCCCCATAGAGTGAGGTGGGACATGGGGGACTTAGGAAGTGGTGGGGAGCATTGCTCCCTGCCGCTTCTATGTTTACATATTACAAGGAGGGAGCGGCGTGCCGGTTGCTCCCTCCTTGTAATAAACTGCACGAACAAATAAACACTGATACTCAGTGTTAGTTTGTTCGTCTGACAATGCTATTCATTCATTCTGGTTTCTGACGAATGAATGAATGGATGAAATTCCCGTTCGCATGTCCAAGTGTTTCACTGGGCATGTGCGGGGATCTCAGTGCTATCTAGTGTTTGAGGATGACGTGTCCCACAGGGACTTCCTCTACCCACACAAAGATGGCAACGCCCTGAATAGAGATCGGGGCAGAAAATAAAGAATAAAAAATAGGTAATATGGGGGGCTTAGGGGCATTTGGGGGTGACTAGGGGGTCAGTTAGATGTAGTGGAGGCGGGAGGGGGGGTTAAAAAAAACTGGATTCAGCCATGACAGTGCCGCTTTAATTGCATTGAAGTATTGTTTGGTCTGTCTTCTAAATTACTACCGATAAAGACCTTTTTTAAATACGGTTTTGATGAAAAAAAAAATTGTATCCGGACAAGTAGATTAGGCATATGCTTTAGTCCCTGGACAATTTATTTTTTTGTTGTTTTTTTCAACA